ATCGATTTTGATTTGGTTTGGTTTGGTTATTCGGTTATTAATCATACACAAAAATAAAAGAAACAATTCATTCAAAATGTGAAAAGTGACAACAATTCATTCTAAACGATTTAAAAAAAAAAAAAAAGACTGACGTACAGAACTTTCGATCATTGAAATTACTATGAATAAAGCTTCAAAATTCGCTATTTTGCCCCTAGAAGGAAGAGATAGTGACATATTCGGTCTCACAAAGAATTGTCATAAACACTCATATACATGAAACCAATAAGATAAATGTTCTCACCTTAGACATTTTTGCTCTCATAAGTAAATTATAAACTAATTTTTGATGAAAACATATATAAGATCTTTAAAATTATTTATAAAATTAATATTTTATGTATGTATAATAATAAAATATATGCATATAATTTATCGGTTCAGTTCGGTCATTTCTTTGATTTTTTCAAATAAAATCATAATCAAACCAAATACTATCAGTTTCAAAAATCTAAAACCAAACCAAACCCAAATAAAACCGATCTATTTAATCAATTTGGTTCAATTTTTTCTATTTGAATCGTTTTTTATCCAAACCATAAACACCACTAAATATAACAATATGATGATGAAAATAATCAAACCATCATTATCAATTCCCTTTCCCTCCCTTCCATTTTTCCACTTTTCATCAATGAAGCCATTAATGCCTTAACCTAAATTCAAATCCAATCAATTGAGCACTGCCATTTTTTTTTTGTCATTTTTAAGAGGGACATTGGCACTTTTAGTCCCTCAAGTATTACAAATTTTTATTATTACCCTTGTAATTTTTTACTAAGCATTATGAGCCTTCAACTAATTGATACACATGCACTTTTGATACCTCAAATTGCAAATCTTCACAAATTTAATGAATTATCAAGTGTTAAACCATTTAATGATTAATATATTATGTCAAATTTGTATTGCTGCTTCATTTTTTTAGGTGATATAGTTCTAAAAATACTTTAAATATCACCTAAGTTGCTCGGACTTGGGTGCGGGTGTCCGATACGAGTGCGGATCTAGAGGTCGGATCCTCTATAATTTAAATTTTAAGATTCGGAGATAAGGATATATGTATGGATGCGGGTGCAGGGATTTAGTTAAAATAATTCAAATATCTAAAAATAGAGTTATAAAACCTAAATTATGAGATATTACGTGAGAAACTTGAGGAGAATATTGATCAAGCGAAGAATCCGGGAAGGTGATTAAAAAAAAGGGAATGACAATAAAAATTTATATAGACAAGCTATTCTGTTTTCTTCAATTTCCCCTTAGTTTTTGTTTTGATTATAGACATCATTGAATATGTTCAGAATTTCTCCTCGAATTTGGTCAAATTACCCAAAATCGGTTGACCAGATCAGGTACGGATCCCACACTCACACCCACGTCATGTCGACACAAAAGTGAAGAGTCCAAACAACTTAGAATATCACATATTCCATATGTAAAGAGACCAAAAAACACAAATTTTAGTTAACTAAAGGTTAAAGACCTTATTTGAATGAATTTATAAGTTATAACTTATGAATTATAAATTAATCGACTCTGATTTAACTATATATTTGGTTTTTTAATATGTAGCAATCACTAATAAAATAAAATATATTACCTATTATTACTTTCTACTACTAGTTTAAACAAACCAAACTCAGCAAGCTAGACATGCATCATGAAAGACAAGTTGAGAATAGACCATACTTACACAATTTAATGTAAGGATTAAGAATCCTTACCTTCCACACATCCATGGTAGATTAATCATTAATGGGGTTATCTACCTGATTTGACAATCAAATGATAGCTAATCCTCCAATGAATATAAGGATTTCTTAATTCATTTTTTCTTTTTAATAATTGTAGTGTCCGAGCAAGCTTGCACCATCACAAATATTAGGTAACTTTATCTATTAAGGCTTGGACAAACGAAAAAAAAAAAAAAACACTAGGTGTTTTTTTTTGCCTCATTTGAGATTTAAACCTGAATTATGATTCCCAACCTATTTCATTGTCGACCAGGTCAAGCAAGCCCTTGGGTGCAAATGAAGGATACTATTAATGCCTCTCATCTTCTTACAACCAAAGTTAACATTCCATAATTGAGAATACATCAAAATCCACATATGGAGAAGTTATACCTTTTGGTTTTAACCTTCATAACAGTTTGGTTGAGTTCAGTCAGGGGATTTACAAACATAGAAACAGATGAATCTGCTCTTATTGCCTTTAGAGCATATATAACTTCAGACCATGATCATATCTTGTCCAAAAACTGGACGCCATCCAGTAACAGATCCTCTATCTGTTACTGGATCGGCGTCTTTTGTAGTGGAGACAACGAAAATCAAAGAGTGACATCTTTAAATGTCTCAGGATTCAGACTTTCAGGCACAATTGCTCCTGATTTAGGAAACTTGACATTTCTAATATCATTAGACATCAGTAACAACAACTTCAGTGGCTTGATGCCTAATAAGTTAGGTAATCTACAACGATTACAAGAGATAAACGTAGGATTCAACAATTTAAGCGGAGACATTCCAAGCTGGTTTGGAAACTTGCCACAGCTCGAGAGCATTTTTATGAACGATAGCACGTTTAGTGGTCCTATTCCACCGGTTTTAGGCAACAACACAAAGCTGAAGAGATTGGTACTGTCATACAATTTGTTACATGGAAACATACCTCAAGAGATAGGAAACCTTTCCATGCTGATAATAGTTGACTTTAAGTATAATGTGCTTACAGGATCTATACCATCTGAATTATTCAACATCTCATCGTTGCAAAGCATCGATCTCACTGGTAATAGTCTAACAGGTGGACTAGCACCGGATATCTGCAGTAATCATCGTTTTGTTGAGCTTCAAGGAATATTTTTATCCGCGAATCAGCTTCATGGACTGATCCCATCGACGTTTCATCTTTGCAAGGAACTCCAGGATTTATCCTTGTCCTACAATCAATTTAGTGGAAAAATCCCAGTTGAAATTGGATATATAACCAAGCTCAAGATATTATATCTGGGGATAAACAATTTCATAGGTATCATATTATATTTATTCAAGTTATATAGTAGTCAGCACTCTTATAATATTGCTAGTGTAGTTAGTGATTAGAAGAGAAGTCAAGTTCTATAATTTTTACATAGAAAGATGACTGTTGGAATTGCATGTTCAAAGAATTATGTTTCTCCGAATAGCTGTGTTTTAACAGATATCTAAGTAGGGGCAGAGCCAGGAAGGGCCAAACTATATATAGCAATGTTGGAACCTTTGGCTTCTTCATGTGTTTACTTCTTCATATTTTGAACCCCCTTAGTGAAAATAGGATCGGGGTTTAAATTCCTTAATGAAAGAGATTTCAGTCAAAACCATCAGTTTTCTGTTTCTCACAAGTTTATCTTCCCAACATAAATGTATAGCAACTTCAACTTATCGAGGATATGACCTTATATAGGAGGTTGTGGAGTACATGGATTAGAGTAGAAGGTTAGTAGGTAGGAGTGCATTGTCTTGATGTCAGTCCATACTAGTAGTCGTAGTATTACAACTATCGTAATAGTATTTTGTTGTAGTACTGTTCTGTTACTATATGATGTTTTTTGTACTTCCGTTACTTCTTTTTCTGGACTACTGCTGTCTGCTTTGGACTTTTTTTTCTTGAGTTGAGAGTATATCGGAAACAACCTATCTACCTCTGAGGTAGGAGTAAGGTCTGCGTATACTCTACCTTCCCTAGACCCTACTTTGTGGAACTACACTGGTGCTGTTGTTGTATATGTATAGCAACTAAATAAGTGTTAAGTGAGTTTAAATCAACAAGAAATTTCTACTTACTACACCAATCGATCGAGGTGTTTTGCTATCTATATTTATCTAGTTTTGACAATCTTTTTGCAGGTGGAATTCCTGAAAATTTAGGCAATCTTACATATTTGGAGATGCTAAGCCTAAGAGGTGGTTCACTAACAGGTCAAATTCCACACACTCTATTCAACATGTCCAGCTTAAAGCAACTCGATCTTTTGAACAACAGCTTGTCCGGAAACCTACCATCCATGAGCAGTCAATGTAATGTTCCTCACATAACTGGTGAAATCCCAGCAAACACATTCAGATGCAAACGCCTTCAAGTCATACAATTAGCAGACAATATGCTTACAGGCAGCATTTCTAAAGATATTCGGAACTTTACTTTCCTTCAGAATCTATATTTAGCAGACAACAACTTCACAGGTACGCAACGCCAAATTGTTATTGCCCTTGTAGTTTCTATTTATAGATATCAAAGTCCTAACTTTACCACATTAGATATTTCTACCTCATACTTTAACGACACCATGTAGCTTGTCTCAATGCACGTGTAAATTACATACATGGTATCAGTTATAGTATATATTACATTCCTAATTCATTTGATACTTTGTCAGGGAGATTACCAGCTGATATAGGTAGCATAAATCTGAAGGTACTTAATGTCGATGGAAATCACTTGTCAGGTGTCATTCCATCTGAAGTATTCAACATATCGACGTTGCAGATTCTAGACTTAAGCAGGAACCGGCTCACAGGAACTCTTCCCTCAGGCTTGGGCCATCAGTTTCCAAATCTGCAAGAGCTTTATTTAGGTGAGAATGAGCTTACAGGATCAATCCCAAGCTCTATCTCAAATGCTTCATCACTGGCTCGATACCCGACCTTGGTAATTTAAGACTTTTGAAGAGGCTATTTCTAGAAGAGAATAACCTTACAGGGGAAACTTCCAAAGGAGAATTAAAATTCCTGTCCTATTTAACTAATTGTAGACATTTGGAAAAGATAGAAGTGTCTTTAAATCAGTTAAATGGTGTCCTTCCAACTTCATTAGGGAATCTCTCTGCTAGCCTTCAAATTTTCTCAGCATTTGGAAGCAAAATCAAGGGGACTATACCTGTCGGAGTTGGAAACTTGACAAGCTTGACCGGTATGTACTTGGATAGCAATGAGTTGACTGGAGTTATCCCAAATACAATTGGAAAGTTAAAAAATCTCGAACGTATATATCTGGAATACAATAGACTGGAAGGGTATATCCCAACTGATATTTGCCAGTTAAGTAAGCTGGGGGATATCTACATTAGTCACAACATGATCCGTGGAGCCATACCAGCATGTTTTGGTGAACTCAAATCACTACAGAGAGTTTTCTTGGATTCAAACAATTTGACATCTACCATTCCATTGAACTTTTGGAACCTGAATGACCTTGTAGGTTTGAACTTATCCACAAACTCTTTCAAAGGCTATTTACCATCAGAGATCTCTAATCTGAAGGTTGCAACAGACGTGGACTTATCATGGAATCAATTTTCAGGAGATATCCCCAGCATAATAGGCAGGGCGCAATCAATAGTTTACCTTTCTTTGGCACATAATAGATTGCAAGGTACTATTCCTGAATCTTTGAGTAACTTGATAAGCTTAGAGACATTAGATTTGTCGTCCAACAACTTGTCCGGAATGATTCCAAAGTCTCTCGAGGCATTGAGGTATCTCCGACACTTCAATGTCTCTGTGAATGAATTGGAAGGAGAAATTCCATCAGGTGGATGTTTTTCAAATTTCAGTGCTGAATCTTTTAGGCAAAATCCTGAGCTATGTGGAGTAGCTCGGCTGCATGTTCTGCCCTGCCGGACAAAACATTCCAAGTCAAAAAGTGTTTCATCTTTGATTAAATATGTTGTTCCCCCTCTCTTGTCAACAATTCTCATGGTGACTGTTGTACTTATATTGATAAGAAAACGGAACCAATACGTAAAGATGAAAATGGAGGAATCACAGCTTGCTGCAATTCTTTCACCTAATGCATACTTGAGAAATGTTTCATATCTTGAACTTGTACGAGCAACAAATTCTTTTCTGAATCCAATCTACTAGAAAAGGGAAGTTACGGTTCAGTTTATCGAGGGGAACTCAACGATGGAACAGATGTAGCTGTAAAAGTTTTTAACTCATTGACAGAAGAAGCAACCAAGAGTTTCTATGCTGAATGTAAGATATTGAGCAATATCCGTCACCGAAACCTTACAAAAATCCTTAGTTGTTGTAGTACCACAGACTTCAAAGCTCTTGTATTAGATTACATGCCAAATGGTAATCTTGAGAGGTGGTTACATTCCCAAGATTATTGTTTAAGTATGCTTCAGAGATTGAACATAGCAATAGATATTGCTTCAGCTTTAGAATATCTTCATTGTGGTCTAACAACTCCTATTGTACACTGTGACCTGAAGCCTAACAATATCTTATTAGATGAAGATATGACTGCACATCTTTGCGATTTCGGGATCGCAAAAATTTTTGAGCAAGACATGCATATGGCTCAAACCAAGACACTAGCCACCATTGGTTATATGGCACCAGGTGAAACTAAATCCAAATCCTTCTTATTCTGCTTTCTTTAGTAGTAAATCATTTTTTGGGTATTTTGAAACATACTAACTATCAAAAATCATTCATAAGCTACATTGCTTGAATCTGTCAGGAGCAAGAACTCCATTTCATTGATCACTTATCCCCATATTACCAAATCCTTTTCATGTCTATGACCTTTATTCACCAGAAAATCTACACGTTTATCCACTTTCTTCATTCATCTCTTAAAGTTTTTCCGAAAACAGCATCTCCGGTTTGGATCTTCACACTACCATTAGTATATAGCTTAATTTTTCTTGCACAAGGAGGACCAAGCAATTAGTTTGACTTGTTTGGATATAGAGGTTTTGCATAGGGAAATACTTGAACAATTTCCATAGTGTAATTTAAATGTGTTTAGATATACATTTCTTTCTAGTTATCCCTCTATTATAATTTGTTCGTCTTATTTTCCTTTGAGTCCGTCTCATAAAAACCACAAAACATGTTTAAGACCACAAGATTAAAAGATATTTGATACATTCTAAGGTTTTCTTCACTTTCTTAATTGAAATCCGTGTCAAGTCAAAACCAGACAAACAAATTGAAACAGAGGGAGTGTAATATAAACTAGATCTTATGCTATATATTTTTCTTAAATTGTAATGTCATTGCAGAGTATGGAACTCATGGGATAGTTTCAACAAGTGGAGATATCTACAGCTATGGCATTATATTGTTGGAAATGTTTACAGGAAAAAAACCAACTGATGATATATTCGGGGAAACAATGAACTTGAAATGTTTCGTGGGCGAAAGCTTATGTAGAAAATCTTTAATGGAAGTTCTGGATTCTGATTTGATTAGAGATGTTGAACAGTTCTCTGAAGTAGTACAACAGTTTGTGTCATCTATCTTTTGTTTGGGATTGGAATGTCTGAAAGATTGTCCTGAAGACAGAATGAGCATTAGTAATATTGTGGATAGCCTTAGAAAAGCTAAAATTGAATATTTAGCAATTAGAGGAAAGGCAGAAAAGGTGGTGTAAATTTTCTGATTGTGAAAAATGTTGTAAACATTTTGTTTTGTTTTGTATTAGTGGTTACAATGGGAGTTCTTTTCAAATCTGTTTCTGAAAATACTTTTTCTTGAGCCGAACAACGGTTGAAAATAGTCTCTCTACCTCCCACAAGATATAGTGGAAAGGTTTGTGTATTTGATTTCCTTTTGGACCACATAAGAATTTGTCGTCCGATTGAATATTCCTTTTTTCTCGATGCTCTATTGGAAAGGTTTGTGTATTTGATTTCCTTGGACCATGTAAGAATTCATCGTCCGATTGAATATATTTTTTTTCCTCGATGCTCTATTGGAAAGGTTTGTGTATTTAATTTCCTTGGACCACATAAGAATTCGTCCTCCGATTGCTATTTCTTTCCTCCACAATCTCTCTACCTCACAAGGTAAGGCGTAAGGTCTGAATACATTCCAATCTCTCCATGAAAAGAAGTCTTGCTGAGTTCCTCTTTTCCTGCTATTGAACTTGTCCAATATCTACTTTAAAACCCGACTAATTTCTTGCAAGAAAGTTCCACTTTGGAAGTAAAACACTTTTTACCCAAGAGGTGTATTCATGACTAGAACCCGAAACCTCTAATTAATAAGTTCTTCTGTCATGAAGAGATTATTGTGGACTTCTGCAGTAGAATTCATCTAATGAGAATCCTATATAAACCACAAGCACACCTTTCCTAATAATCAAAAAGGTAAAAACTGTTAGAATGAAAAAATCTGTAGTCATAATTATTAAAGAATATACCCTTCCACAAAATTACTTAGTATATAGTATATACATTCATAGCAATTACTGAAAACATTTCCCTTACAAGTTAAAAAGACAAATCTCTGGATTAAGTATTTGATAGCTTACACCAAGTGTTCGTGTACACACAATTCCAATCAATGGAGTATCATTTTTGTTAGAAATGTTGAGTTTGTTACTTCCCAGATCCCCCTTCTCCACCCCCAAACCAAAAAAAATAAAATGAGTGTGTTTGTATTTACTCGATGCTCTCCCCGTCAGTTTTCAGCTCCTACTTACAGTTTCTTTCCATTTTCTGATTTGTCATAACATATTGACATTCAATTACTGGAGAAGAATCAATTGAAATCTGCCTAGACTTTGTTGATGTTCAATTTCTTTTTTTTGATGAACTCATCAGACTGCAGTTACAGTATAAATCACGCTATCATCCAAGTTGCGCTGAAAGCAAACCAAATGCAATATTCCTCTTCAAACATTTTGTGATTCTGCAATACTACAGGGTGCTTAAATGAGATTGCTTTATCGAGCAACTCAGCAGATAAGAGAGAACCTGAATGGTCCTCTACTAGGAAGGCTCATGGTAAGGTTTGGTTGACGAGCCCCATTGATATTGCAACTTCTTTGGATGCAAAAGTATCAGCTTGTTCCTGCAATGTCACATTAGATCATTATTTGTTTCAATGTCTTTACATTATCATTGAAAATAATACTTGAAGAAATACTAGAGCAGGTGCCTCTCTGCTGAGATATTTAAATATAATCAGATCTATCGACTACATGAATTCTAAGAATCAGTAAAACATAAAATGGGCATGCCAATGTACATGCACTTGTGCCTATATGAGATACAGAACATCATCCCACAAATAAAGATATTTTATGTACAATTTCAAAACACAGTCTAAAATTCACGAGACAGGAAAAGCTTTATTAACGTATACCTTTTATACATATGTTACAAATGGAAAACAAAGGTGCAGACTCTATAAGTGTTATGACAAAGTAAATGGTAAGAGAAGTGGATTAAGAGATGTGTCATTGTCATACAATACCAACACAACTACACCTCAATCCCAAGCAACTCTGGGGTCGACTATATGAAAACTTTATATCCATTTTGCTCCATTTAGGCCAGTCTCGTTTCAAAACCCAATTATATTTGTTAAGACAAACCGCAGTTCTCAAAATGTAGAGGTAACCTGAACGTTTAGTGACAAAAGAATCTCTGGACAAACTCAAAACACTCCTAGAAAACACCAGACATGATTGTAAATCCAACTAAGCCTAAATTCAACTAGTAGGGATCACATATATGAACTTTTTTGCTGTTATTGAGTTCTATTATTTGCTACGTCTGTATGGATTTTGAGAGATTCTAAATCTTTTAATAAAACTTCCTTCCATGTAATCATGAGGCCTATCTTATTCTTTTTTAACACCTTCAATCAGCTAAGTTTCATCAATTAACATAATATCATCCACAGAAATCCTTTATCAAAAAGAAATAAAAAATCATCCACAGAAATTATGCATCATGGAGCCTCATTAGCTAGACACTCAATTATCAAACTAGGGCGGAAGCTCAAATAATCATACCTGAAGGCGATGCAATAGATACATCAAGAACAAATGGACAAACACCTGTCAACAGTACCATATACCTCATTAAATAGCAGGTACAATTTTACATCAATTCACTTCAAACATTCAACAGACACTAAGGTTTTTCCAGAGTAAATGATCTGTTCTAACCAGATAAAAAAGCAAGATAACTCGAGCAGTTGGATATCGCCAGAGAAATCGTGTTGCCCTGACAGCCCCGGAATCCAGAAGCTTCGCAGCCTTCTGTAACTGCACAGCGAAGTTTAAGTCATATACAAAAATAGTACAAATATATGGCTCTCTTCCAGTTAAGTACAAAACTTGTACTCTTTTTTTTCATGCTTCTTTTTACCCCCTAGTGTGAGGATGTGGATGTGGAAAATAGGAAAGAGCTTACCTGTATCGTCGCCCTAGTCATGTGTCGATGATGTAAAGGGAGAGGCCTGTAATATTAAAATGTTTCAGAAAAGCACGTCATGCTCAGAGGAACTTGAAAACTGGGAGGCTTCCTTTATTTTCCGATAAATAAAACTTTGAAGGCTCACTGAACAGCCTATGAATTCTGATCACGTGTTACAACTACAAAAGGCTTATAAAGTGATTCCCTCCATCCCAAATTTGTGTGGAGCGACTGGAATTTCGAGAGTTAACCAAGTTTTTCTTTGATCGAAATTTCTTTATATGTCTTTCAAATATTTTAAGTTGTTAATTATTGTGATTTATAGTACTTTTAACGTAGTTTTCAATTATATAAATTTTATTTTAAAAACTTAAAGCTTCTATGTCTGAATTCATGGTCAAAGTTTAGAAGTTTAAATCTCAAAATTCCAATTGTGCCACATAAACAGGGATAGAGGGAGTAATTTTGACGCAAATGAATTACTTTTTACTTGTTTGATTACTGATCAAATTAGACTTTGAAGCAAATGAATTCACATTATTGTAACATATTTTTTTATATCTAACATGATAGTTTCAGTTGTCCTTCATTTTAAGTTAATGATGGCAATAAACTTGGAATTCTTTTTAATTTTTAGTAGTGTGTCTGATCAACTAACCCACCTCGACAATTCCACTGGATACTGGGATCCTCCCACTGTGCCAATTTTGGCATATTTATTTAAAACAAGTTCTTTCTTATTCATTGAAAAATTAAGATCGCACCAAACAATTAATATATTCTTTGCAACCACATTGTTCCTCCATTTACTCTTTCGTTTAACCAGGCAGGAGATGCCAATTTCTTCAACTTTCTTTGGGTGAAAAAAAAAAAGGAAAGGCTGAGCTGGAAAAGAAAGTTCAAGAAATAATTTTAATGAACCAATTTCACATTTTCCTAATGGACAGGACTGGCCAAAGTATAACGGGAATCAAGGTCTAATAATGAAGGAAGAGATTCAAAAGTGTCTCCCAAAAGCATAAAGTAAATTCTTAATAGTAACATACTCAAGTGCTTTGATGTCAGTGTCTTCCTCCCACGAGGATGATGCTCGACGAGAAGATCTGTTTCTTTCAGCTTCTAACTGTTGTAAGAGAAATTCTTAAGTAATTTAACCCACTTTATCAAACTGCAACTGTAAATACAAGGAGTAGAATGTAATGCAATGCCAAAATACTGATAAACTTAAGCACAAACCTGTACTTCCTGACGACGCTTTGCTTCCTTCTCCAACTGAAACGCAGCCGCAGCTTTTTCACTGGCCATGGCTTCAAGCTGTGTTTGCTTGTAATACTGAACTTGCAGGCAAGAAATACAGCTTATTAAGTTACCAACAGTAAATAATGGGAACTATATAGAGCATACATGAATTAGTTTAATCTTACTTACCAATAGATCAGTTAATTCACGATACCGCTTTTCAAGTTCCACATGTTCCTATTACCAGCAGCAATAGATTCCAATATCAATATGTATTTAAAGATTGATAAATGAGGATATCAAAGTCATACAAAGCACAAAAGAAGAGAGATAACAAGCAAGAACGAAAATTCCATCACATTCACGTGTTAATACCTAAAAGCACAGCCTTGGTGACTTACCAATATATGGAAAAAAGAACATAAAAGGTATGACACAATTATTTTTAGATTATTGCTCAATCATTGACATATATAAGACTAAAAAGCAGGGATGGGCACCAAAAATTTCGTAGCTTCTATGCTGCCTTTGCTCAAGGAAAGCGCTCTCTTAAAGTAACATCATGTTGCTAATTCAAAGTTTGTAATAGAAAAAGATACTGTGTGAATGGCCTAGTGATAAATATCTTGCCACCTGTGACAATATCTCTTCTTACATTTCAGTGTTCTAAGACTAAGAGCCTGTTTGGATTGGCTTAAAAGTTGGTCAAACCTACTTTAAAGTCATTTTTAGCTTTTGAGAGTGTTAGACAAAGTTGAAAATAACTTAAAATAAGTTTAAAATGACTTAAAACCAAAAGTTGGACTCTTCCTACTTTTTATTTTTGAAGTTAAAAGTCATTTAAGTTTGACTTTAAAAAGTTACTTTTTAAAAGCTATTTTTTTTGGCCAATCCAAACGGGCTCCAAGTATAATTCACGTACCATATTTACACCCCAAACCTACCTCAATCTACAACTAAGTTGAAATGACGAAGTCTCAAA